TCAACTAACTTATCTCCTGGCATAATAAAGAACAGACCAAAATAAGTGACATTTTCTCCATGAAAATCGTGTAGTATTTTTGATAAAATGTGGAACAATTTACACTGTTACTTTTAAAACATCAACACTTGTGATGAATGCACCAAATTAGCTTTCATCGCTAAAGAAAATAAATGTTTACCTTTTAATCATTGCCTTATAATTATGTAACACATATAAACAACATCTGTTGAACTTTTGCAGACTTATGCAATACAAGATTAAAAATGTTTAACCCCATAACAAATAGAGTTTGATCTACAATAGTTTCACTTGGCATAAATATAATTATCTTGCAAAATAGTTCTTTACTGCTTTGCATTGGCTTTTAGTATGTCCAATTTCCTGGCATTGATAGCATTGCTCTTTCTGAAACGGACAGGATTGATGAACATGTCTTGTCGATCCACAACGCCAACACCTTAACTTCTGGTCAGTCCACTGACCTGTGGGCTTTTCCTTCTCAGTAAGCTTGGAATTCCACTTGCTTGAAGACCTTTCTTTCATCTGCGTGGTTCTTAACTGGTGAACCTCTTTGTCTTCACTACCATTGTCACTGGAGTGCAATTGTTCAACATCTCTATTAGCTATCTCCATGGCCATGGCTACTTTCAACGCTTTATCAAATGTAAGCTCTGATTCACTAAGAAGCTTTCTTTGTGTAGCTTTGTCCTTACAACCAACTACAAGGCGATCTCGAAGCATGCTATTCAATTCTTTAAACTTGCATCCTTCACTCAACTGGCGTAAACGAGCAACAAATTGCGGGATTGTTTCACGTGATTCTTGAACACAAGTATAAAACTTATACCTTTGGACTATTTCAGTTGGTTGGGGGGCAAAATGTTCAGACAGGGTATCCTTACATACTTGGTAAGTTTTATCAATTGGTTTGTTGGGCTGCAACAATGCACGTAATGTGGCATAGGATTTACTTCCTAATCCTGATAAGAATATACCCTTCTTCTTTGCATCTGCTGTAATATCATTAGCTATAAACCATGACTCAAGAACCTCAATCCAATCTTCAAATTTATACCCTGAGTCCAACTGAGGGACATTACCAAACATTTGTGCTGCCATGTTTATGTAAGGCGCATTAAACTTGTAATGAACAACTTTATACCATAACAAATACTTGCATAAATATTTGACTTGAAATACCAATACCAAACAACAACAACATTTGGGCTCTTTCCACTTCCACACATGTATCTAACACATACACATTTCTTTGACAAGCAATTTACAACTGAAGAACAAAATTCTTGACTTAGACCTGGACTAGACTGCAAAGACTAGACGTAATTATTGTCTGATTGTTAATAGGTTCTACTGTTATTTACACTGTAAAAACCCGAGACTAATGTCTAACTCTAAACTTGTAGACCTACTTAGATCCACATCTTCACACTTGAATTACACTTCAACTTGTAATGGTACTAGTCCTGGTCTGGGACTGGTCCTTACACTCAGTTACAAAACAGATTCATCATAACAATCGACAATATTATCAAATGAGTTCTAAATGTTTATTTGCTTGCATCAACATCACCATCACTTCATGATGAGTGGTCTGGCTTTCACTTGGGTGGGTTGCTACTAGTCCGAAACTATGAACTGAGTCAACTGACACTGTCACTGAACTGGATCCTGGTCCTAAATTGAAGGCAATCACGAAGTAACAACTTCCTGTATTTCAATTTTAAGGCTAAAACAAAACACTTCCTCCTCTAGTCTACGCTGCAGTAGATCTAGATACAGGAACCTGGATTCTGAAACAATGTATGCCGGGCGGGGCTGGCTGGGCGGGGCTGGCTGGGCTGGGCTGGCTGGGCTGGGCTGGCTGGCGGGCTGGGCTGGCTGGCTGGCGGGCTGGCTGGCTGGCTGGCCATGGGCTGGGCTAAATTGGCTTGCTGGCTAGCTGGGCAAGGCTAGGCTAGCTGGGCTGGGCTGGCTGGCTAGCTTGGCTGGCTGGCTAAGCGGGGCTGGCTGGGCTGGGCTGGGCTGGCTGGGCTGGCTGGCGGACTGGGCTGGCTGGGCTGGCTGGGCTGGCTGGCGGGCTGGGCTGGCTGGCTGGCGGGCTGGCTGGCTGACCATGGGCTGGGCCTTGAACTTGGTTGGAGCTTTCATGGGCTTGGCTACTGCCACTGAGTTGCATGGCCTACTGTAGTACTACTGCAGCACTGCCACTGGTTGATCGTCCAGTTGAAAGTTAGGCTGGGGGCATCCATTCACCATTCATCCAACTGCGGCTAATAAAGTTAAACTGATGAGGCAACATCAGCAAAACAAATACTCGCTCACCTACGATCAACGGCTGGATCTCCTGGCTAAAGAGTTTTTCATCCAAATTAGGCAAACTCAGCTCCATTAGTTCGGTTCATTTGCTGAATACATGCTGATGCACAATTCTCCATAGCTGTACGTGCTGTACGCCGTAGGCTTGGGAGCGAGAGCCGAGTACCCGACTCTAACCGATTCTGAAATCCAGAACCGAGGAGTCGACTCCAATCTCTAGAGAGTCGATTACTCGAGCACGTTGGTTCCGAGAAAAGGAGACTCGGTTCCAAGATAAGAACCGAGTCTTTGGCGCTGGAGTCGACTCCACAGCACCAAAATTCAAAGAGATACTTTGCAAAAGTGAACGAAGGAACATTGCCTGAACGAACTGGTGTCGATTCCACAGCACAGAGAATGAACAAAATCAGCTCTGTCAAAGCAGAATGCATGCGAGCGATGGGCGCACTAGCAGCATGCTGTTTTGATACACACATTTGTGTGTGTCCCTCCTTCGTAGTACTGTGCATCAGAGTGAGATGTGTGTGCTATGCGATGTGTATAGCACTGCTGCATGTTGTCTGTAACTGCCCCCCCCCCCCCCCCCCCAGCTGAACGTTTGACCTTTGGTAAATTGCGCAAGAGTCTTGGAACAATGGCCCCATTTTCTCTCCTCTTGGAGCGTGTGATCAAGTTGATTCATGTTTTCTCTCGTGCGCAAACTGATTTATGTGACTTTGTTTTTGCTCTCTCTCTCTCTCTCTATCCCTAGTCTTCCCTTCCCCTAGACATCAGACGTTTAGTTTTCTTCCTCAAATAAACTAAATCACACAACTCACAATTTCCTCCTCCTTTCTCTCCCTTGAATTCTCCTCATCAAGTTTTATTCTTCTTAAAAATAAATTTGACAGGTCTACAATTTACATGTACATTCCCCCACCCCCTATATCTTATTTCCTTCAGTTATTTTGTTTTCCTTACAAGAATAAATGTGGCAGGTCAACATCTCCCCTTCTCCCTTTCTCTCCCCCTCTAGCATCCCCTTCTGTTATTATTTTTGTCTCAAGAATAAGTTTTGCAGATCTACATCTCTCTGTCTTGTGTTCTTTTTGGGGGTATTTAAACAAATAAGAATAATTCAGGCAAGTCAAGTGTCCCCTCTCGCTGTGGCATCTCTAATAGTGGCTGAAAATGCAGACTAGTTATTCTGAAACCAAGATCTAGCGCTGTTATCTGTTGTTTAGAAAGCACGTGGTTAGTAGTAACCATGGGAATGGAGTGCCACCGAGCTGGGGCTGGGGTCATTAAAGTTTTTGGGTGGCATTGGGCGGGCGGGCGGCCATGTGAGCATGAGTTATTGACACTTAGCTCTCAGATAAAGGTTGGGCCCTGGGAGGAGAGCCAGCGGACCAGGCATGTTTCGGATACATTCCATTTATTTTAGGCAGGGAATCAGAATCTTTAGTTTTACATAATGGATTGTTTACCGTAATATTGGAAATAATTGTTCTGCATTTCTTACATTTTAGCAGTGTAAGTACGAGTTGATTATTCCATAATTCTATGTTGAAGTTTAGAATTTAAATTAGACCTAACATGTTTTTGTTTGTTTACATTGTTGCCAAGTTGCCATGAGTTATTAAATAATTAATTACTTTATTAGCAGTGGTCATGTTTTTTTCTCGATTTGATCGAAAGTAGTAAAATAAATCATTTCATAACTGTTTATGAAGGTCTGCACTTTGATCTTCTTTATATATTGTTTGCATGTAATTGTAGAGATATCATGAGACGAAACAGATATAAACAAAACATCAATTTACACACACAAGTCACACATACATTCATACTTTTGATACTCAGTTTTAAAAGTAAAGTTTTCCAAAAAAATATCTCAGAAAATCATCTGTTGCTATCGGTGCCACTGCTGAGTGGAGCCGACATGCACAGTACATAACATACAGTGTTTAAACACCTCCCTGGTGTGTGTGTGTGTGTGGCCTTTACAGCATTGTGGCTTCAATTACATGTACTGTATATGGCAGCCAGCGGGAGTCGATTCCACTTGGAACCGAGGCCGAGAGTGGGAACCGGAGTCGGTTCTCATCAACAAGGGAACCGCCCAAGCCTACTGTACGGCAAAGCGTTCATAAAAAACTGCACGTGTACAGGCATAATTCCAAACCATGTCGGGTCTCTGCTGGAGAAACTTTTTTCAAGTCTTTATTTCAGCAAACTGCGGCAAACCAAACTAATCATCTCGACCTCGTCGCCAATATTATGTTCTGTCAATGTTCAAGGTTGATGTTCAGCCAAATAAAGATGACAAATAAAGACGTATTCGTAACTTTAAAACTACATGGTGGTAGCATGGACTTTATTCGATGAAGGCATCGATGGAAACTACGCGCGGTACATTGGGCAATGCGTATACATAAAATGACAAGTCAAGACATGAATAGTCTTAATTTCAGACGTCATACATAACATACATCATTTTTTTCCTTCCGCTAATATTTTGAAGTGGACGACGAGCGCACAAATCGTAGGTGTAGAAGCCTTACGCCCGGGCATTGGCCTCCCTACTCATGATCATTGTCACATCACGTAGAATATCTAGACCTAGACCTAGATCTAGGACATTGATATTGAAAAGACAAAACTTGTCGTTCATGACTTACCATTGAAATTTGTCCTTCAGGCCTTCCAGCTGCTATCTGCTGCATTGGTATTGTTGATTAATTTGTTAACAGGTTGGTTCTAGAATAAGTATAAATTAGCGTGGTCATCATGCCTTCATGGTCATGGTTCTAAAGTTCTAGGCTGATCATGGCCCACTCGATCAATATGTACACACGAGATCATGTGACCGCGATTCTTCGATGATCACCTGATAATGATATAGAGATCGAGAGGGAACGGGGAGCGTCTTTTGCCATGCATGCTGCCCTGCATATTAATATTTGAATATATGAATATTTGCGTTGGTACGGTGTGATGGAGAGGCAGAATTAAACCGGCCAGATTCTGGACTTAACCAGAATGTCGCAATGATTATGGATATGACCTGGGTAGTCATTCATAGTTCATATGTACAAATGTTTGTGAAAGAAGAAATACAATGAACTTATAGTTCATTTTATTTCTTCTTTCACAAACATTTGTACATAGAATTTCAAATATAACTGGAACAGCAGATTATCAATAAGAGAAGCATAATTTGAAGTGCAATAGTAATGTTCAACACAGCTAGGCGCGTACGCAGGGGGGGGGGGGTTAACCCCCCCCTCTTTGAGTTTTTTTAATGTGTGTATTTTAGAGCAACCCCCCCCCCCCTTTTGTGGATTTTTTAAAATAATTTTTTTAATTAAAAAAAAAAAAAACGGAGCAAAATGTCAATTTTTGAAATTTCGAGACCAAAAAAAAAGAGGGTACTCTTACCCCCTTTGTTTCCTTTTTTTTTACCTTTCTGTTGGAAATGAAATAAATATGAATATGAATATAATATGAATATGTATATAATGAAAAGGAAAATATAGGAAGATATAGGATGGAGAGCGAAAGTGCAAAACAGAACAAAACAACAACAGAGAAAAGTTGAGATGGAAGAAAGTATATTATTTGTATTGTTATTATTATTATTAGTTTGACTCATCATAATGATATAATGAGTCAAACTAATAATAATAATAACAATACAAATATAAATAATAATAATAGTAATAGTAATATTGATAATGATAATAGTAATAATAATTACAATGTTATATTGTTTTGGTAATTACTCTGGATACATAAACAAATATTGAATAAAATGTAAATTCTGAGAAAATAACTATAATGTGAATGTTAAAGTGCTATATGTTTATTCTCGTTTTATGTTGTATGTATAATGTTACATGTACATTTTATTTATTTTCCTCTGTGAACAATGCATGTAAACGAAACGAATTTCCTTTTGGACCAATACATTTTGAATTGAATTGAATTGAATTGAGTATAGGTGAAATGGTGATGGGGAAAAAATATAAGAGAGAGAGAGAGAGAGAGAGGGGGGGGGGGGGGGGGAAAAGAAAAAGCACAATTATAGAGCAAAACAGAACAAAACGAGTTTGCTAATAAATGAAGAAATGTTGGTAAGGTAAAGCAAGGTCCAGCCTAATTACTCAATAAATGTAATTTCAGTTTGCGTTTAAAAACAGAGACACTGATAGAGCGAGTTACATCAATAAATAGGGAGTGAGTTCCAACATTTGGGACCAGTACAAGCTAATGTATTCAAAGCAAAGGCAGTTCTTACACGCGGTAAATGGAGTGCAGTTGCCTGTCTTGTATTATAACTGTGAATTTGACTGTTCTTTCTAGCTGTACTAACGCATTTGGGAGAGTATGGCACTGGTTTTTTTTAACTATGACCAAATACCTAAATGGCCCTTTGAGAGCCTGAAACTTTTCAAAGATAAAGAATTAGAAATCAATTACAATTTTTTCTTGTAGCATGGACCTAGATTGACCTCCCATAGCTTAATGAAAAATTTTCAACATTGCTTTATGTGCATCAGCTATCCCTGAACAGCCAATTGTTTACGGAATTTTGTAACAAAATTGACATACCTTTTTGGTTGGAGCCGAAAAAAATATATACCCACTAACAATATGTTTTTTTTCTATTGATGATTAATGAGCATGGGTGGATCTTAAAGAAAGTTAACAGTAATCTGAATTAACTCCTGTATTTTGATGGAACAGTGCAATTGAAAATGGTGTTTCGGACGTTACATCTTCCGTAAACAATGTAGACCCTCATTTAACCCACTAGAACAATAAATTAATGAGATTGTTTATGGTTTGAATAAGCTTATTAGTTACTCCAAGTCATTAAATTAAAAGAAAATATAATTTAATTGTAGTAGCGCTTATACTAGAAATATACTCAAAATTTGAAAAAGGTGTCTCATTTTCCGTAAACAATTTTGTAACGTCCGAAACAACTTTCAATTTGAAGTAGCAGAAAATATATGAACTGCACGACCTTTTTCTTGTAACATTTGTTAAACATTTCATGGCGGCTACCCACCCCGAAAAAGAAATTTGCATTACATCATTACAATACTATTTTATAGTTAAAACCAATTTTCCGTTAACAGTTGTAACGTCCGAAACAAATGTAACGTCCGAAACAAAAAATACCAAATAAATGATGATAATCCATATTTGAGGGTATCTGGAGTGAATAAATCATTATGAAATATGTTATTATAAGTCTTAACATAAGTCAAGACACAAATCAGGTCTTTCAAATCCAATAATTTTGTGTAAGCTCAAGAAGGGTGTTTCGGACGTTACACTATTTGATTGTTAACACATAGTTTGCAAATTTCAACTAATTATCGATCATATGTGCAAGTAACGGTTTCACAATGCACACCCCAGTTAAAAGCACTATTTTGAGAATTTCATTTAGATCTAAATATAAGAATATGAAGAAATATGATGCAAAAACTGAAATTTTCCGTAAAATATCTGAATTTTCTGCAAATTGACTTATAAAACATCAAATATTGAAGCCACACATTGTGATGCAAGGCATGGCTGGCTGCTTTAGTATATCCTTTATTGTAATTTATCAGAAAAAATCTCAATAAAAGTGACTCATAAAAAATATTCAGCCATTTTAACAGCACTTTCTGGTATGCTGTTAGCACGTTTCGGACGTTACATTAAACTGTTAACAGACATTTTCATACTTTAACTAGTTCAAATGAGAGGCAAAGATAGATGTGAAAATAGCAAATTTCAATTTTTCAACCTCTCCTCTTGCTATTTACATTGCTGTGTGTTTGCAAATCATCAGGTTTTCATTTTTACAGAGGTTGTTTCAAATTATGTCATATAACCAAAGATTGTATGGTCAATCTAAACTATTTGGTAGGTTACAAAAGCTCAAAATTATCCACTTAAGCATTACACAGTGTACATGTACATGACACGGGTATTGATACAGGTACATAAAGTTGATAAAATCAAGCAAATTAAAATGTTTGTCTAAAAATTTATGGGAAATATGGATTTTCATTTGAAAATACCTTTTAAAAAGGGCACTCAGTACACGTAACTAATCTATGTAGAAAGTACATACATCTATAAAAGAATAAGACATTACATTAATAACTTATTTCATGATCCTAAACATATAGTCAGGGACGGATCCATGAATTTCTTCCCGGGGGGGGGGGGGGGGGGGGGGGGGGGCGCAGGGGGGGGGGGGGGGTACACACGAGGGGTGAGAGGACATATAAATATTTTTTTATTGGTCCCAAAAAATCGCAAAGACTCAGCCAGCCGCTAAATAAGCGGGGGGGGGGGGGGGGGGGGATTGGTAAGAGCACATTTATTTATTTTTTTTTTTGCTCCCAAATATTTGAAAATCGCGCTGGCCGCAAATTCGCTCAGTGGGGCGGGTGGGGGAGGAGTGCGGACTAATTTATTTTATTTTTTATTTTTGGGGGCCCGGGGAGGGGGGCACGTCCCTGTTTGCCAGTACATTTTGGGCGAATTTGGGGCTGATTTCAACATTTTTGTTTTGGCCGGGGGGGGGTACATGCCCTCTGAGCCCCCCCCCCCCCTCCTGGATCCACCACTGGTAGTATCTTCCTCAGATGTATGCATACATACAAAATGTATAAGCTAGTGTAAAATATAAATGGGCTGTCCGTTTTTATTTTCCCTCTACGAAATGTCAAAGTTGGGGTGCGGCGCTGCGGCCTTATCGCCGGTAAATACGGTACATGTTTAACCTACACTGTATACTGTTTGTCACCTGTGATATCGGCACAGCAAGATTTAAGATCTATCAACCAACCAGCCAACCAACCAACCAACCAACCAATCAATCCATCCATTCATCAATCGGTCATCAAGTAAATAAATAAATAAATACTTATTTAAGAGCATTACAAAATGTTGTCGTTTGAAACAGCCTCCTAATACAAAAAGTGGTAAAGGATGATTGTTACTACAGTAGTATTATAACCTAAAACATACACAATTTGAAAATACATCTGAAATGTCTCATTCTTGAGATGTACATAAATTAGGATTCACCTATTTCTTATTACTTAACAGGACTGGGGGTACTTTTTTTTTATAGTTTTACTTTCAAAAAAATTTGTCAATGTTTTGCTTACATACATGTATGTGTTAGTGATATTATTGAATGACACACTATATAGTTGAAGGACATTAGCAAGCTGATTAAACATCTATTGTAGAGTTTATAGAAATTGATGATCTCATTGAAATGTTAACATTGTGTAACATCCGAAACAAAACATAGCATGCATGTACATTTCACACTGTTGTTCATAACATGCAATAAAGGGTATGTTTCTAAGTGAATTTTCTAAGGAGTTTTGATGACGACAATTGCTATTAGCTTCATATTTCACTGTTAGATCACATAAGCACTTTTAAATACCGGTACACGCTCTTGAAATGAATAATATACCTTACATAAATTGAGTGGTCGATGAAGACAAAGTTGGTATACATGTACGGTATGTGCTAAACTAATTAAAACTGAAGAAAAAAAATCCATAAATGTTACAGAAGTATTATTCTGCAAACAATTAATGTAAATGAGGTCAATAAAACCTAAATAAAAGCAATTAACTTGGATAAAGTTATGATGTTAACAGTGTGTAACGTCCGAAACATCAGTGGTGTGACATATGAAAATTATTATGCAATGCACTGGTTCCCAATTTTTTGCATGTATTTACCTTATATCATCAGTTGTTATAATAAAATAAGTTTGACCTAAGAAAAAGTATTTTACCTATTGAAATTAAAACTTGTTATTGTCAAAACCCAAATTTAGAGCTATTTTTCACTTTCAAGGTATACATAATCTGTATTTTTTAAGATAGAAACTCAAAAAATTGCATGAATAATCTCTGAAACATATTCTTAAAGACCCAACATATTTAAAGGTGTAGTTAATAGCAAATGAGTTTTATATCACAGTTATTAGATATGCTATAGTTCACAATAAAATTGTAAGAACTCATAGTATTCATATCTGGTGAATAAATAAGGAGATAGATTAAGCTCCAAAATTTGCATTTCTCATACATATGAATGGTCCTGATCCTAAATATACACGTTTGAAGTAAGCAAACATAATTTCATTTTTGACCCTTTTGTGGACACATTTGGTATATGTTAAAAAAACCAGTGCCGTATACCCTTTTCAAAATCATACATGATTGAGCCTAACTGCAAGAGATAGATATCTTCTACCTTTAATAGTTTATTACTATGAAACAAAACATTAGTATGAGCACGATAACATTAAAAACAATTCTAATCACTTTTTTCTGAGCGACAAGTATCTTAATATTTCGTTGCGTTTTAGTGACTTCCCCCATGCCAACACTCCATAATTGAGATAAGGCAAAATCAGAGTAGAGTATGAAATAAGCACAATTTCTTGTGGCACAAAAGAACGTAGTTTATAAATGACACCAGTACTTTTAGACATAACTTTACAAATATTACTACAATGTGATGCCCAAGTCAGCTTCTCATCAATGTGTAACCCAAGAAATTTGGTGGAAGTTACCCTCACAATAATAGCATCATCAAAAAGTACGACTCCAGGTAAGTCTCTTATATTAGGGAATTACTAAAAAGCATATAGTTTGTCTTTTGAAGGTTCAAAGACAACTTATTTGCACGGATCCACAAAGTAACTTCCTTTAATTCACTATTAACTGTTTCTAATAAAGTTTCATGATATTTTCAGAAAAAATACACTTGAATCATCTGCAAAAAAAAAAGAATTATATAGGACGTCAAAAAAAAAATAACAATTATTAATATATAATTTAAAACAAGGAGGGGGCCAAGAAAGGATCCCTGAGGGACTCCACAGGATATAGTTTGATGACTTGAGTTAATTCCATTTAATGATACATATTGTTTCCTGTCAGTTCAATAGCTCCTGAACCAACTATAAATTCACTATTCATGATCAACAGGATCTAACGCATTTGAGAAATCCAAGAGTAATATTATGCCGATTGTGTGAAGGTGATTATCTAACGCTTGAGCTACTTCATCAATAAAATGTAAGTTGGCATGCGTAGTGGTATGTTTTTCACAAAAACCAAACTGGAATTTTGAAAATATTTTGGTCTTATTTAAAAATGTTACTGTTCTATCTTAATCAGCTTTTCTAGAATTTTGGAAAAATATGTCAATAATGAAATGGGTTTATAATTATTTAATGTTTGAGGATCACCCTTTTTAAAAATTGGCACTACCTTTAATAGGAATTTTCATTCGTTTTGGTACAATGCCAGATAAGAAAAATAAGTTTAAAATGTAGACAAGCGGTATCACAATTCCATGTACGATATCATTAATTAACTCATTTTTTATGCCATCAAAGCCAGGGCTTTTATCACTTTTAAGCGAGTTCACAAGTTAAAGCAGTTCTGCTTCATTCGTGGGCATCTAAAATAGGCTATAGCCTATATATATGTATTCGGTATATAGGTATACCGAATACAGGTATACCTGTATTCGGTTCTTGCATAAAATAAAAGTTCTTCTTACATCTAGAGAAAGAGTCCTGAAGTTTCAACCCAACATTACAAAAATATTCGTTAAACTTATCCACAATCATTTTTGTATCTTCTACGGATCACCCATTTACATCTATACATTTAATATTTGAAGTTTTTAAAGGTGATTAAAAAATACTTCTAATTACTTTCCATGTATTTTTTAAATTATTCAAAGTCATTTTAAATCGAGCATTGCTTTTTAGTGGACCCCTCTGTTCCCAACATGTATTTCTTACATTTGTTTTAAATGCTTATAATTGATTTGTAATGTTTTGTTGGAAACATGAATAAATTGAATTGAACAATTGAGATAGAGTTGAATTGAATTGAAATATTGTTTCTTTGCAGTACGTAATACAGAGGTAAGAGTATTTTTATAATTAGAATACTTTCTCCACATAAAGTCAGAGCTTCTCATTTCATATTGATAATACAACTTGTTTTTCTTAGTAATAGACTTTAATATTGATTTAGTTATCCATGGCATACGAGGAACTTCATTATAGTTTTTCTTTTTGTATTCAACCAGTGGGACATTCTCATCATACAACAACATGAATTTATTAAAGAAATTTTCAAAAGCGCTTTCAACATTTTTATTTGAAAGAACATCATTCCAATCAGTTGCTATTAATGCTTTTCTCAATTTAGCAATATTTTCAGGAGTACATTGCGTACAGATTAGCTGCCTCTGGATTCAAAATTCCATTTTCCCAAACACAACCCACAATACACAGGATAATGACCATAACGGTAATCCACCCGATTTCATTAAAATAAAAATAGCTTTGCACTTGTAATTTTTGTATGAAATCTCATTATTTAATAAATTATCGCATCGGATTTTATAAGATGGGTAGAAGAATCCCTTCAATCTGATTGGTCAATTACTGTGTAGTTTTGTTTATTGGATGCACCCGATTTTGGGGATCGATGCCACCGATATCCCTATTTTTTGTCTTTGATAATTATTTTTGAATTAAAAAAAAAAAAAAATAAATAGTCGTTTTTTGGTAATTCTAATAAATTTGTTATTCTTTTTTTTTTCTATAATTTTTTTAATTTTTTATAATAAAACAAAAAAAATAGAGTTGACAGTTTAATGTGCACTGACAATTTTTAATTTTTTTTTTTTAAATTTCATGATAAGTTTCAAGAAATTATGCTTTCCGGTAATTACCGGAAAGCATGGCTATGGCAAAATCATGCGTCCGGTAATTACCGGAAAGGATGATTTGCCATGCACCCGGTAAATTTGTAAAATAACAGATTTTTGTATTTTTGACGATTTTTTTTTTGGCCCCATTTTATAAAACAGATGATGCACAGGTTTAATTCGTGGGTCGGTGGAATTGTGTGCACGTGGTACCTTTGAATTTGGTCTAAAACCATTCAAAGGTACCTTGTGCACAATCCCTACCGACGCACTCAAACCTGTGCATCATTTGTATACTTTAATATTTACATTAAATATTGATGACTAGCGCATGACGTATGGTTCCTATTGAGCCAATCAAATGCAGCGAGAGGATGGCAAGGTTAGGTTGAAAAAAAAGACGCGGGCCGCTATAGGCAGGGATAAAAGCGATAAATTTGACAAGAATCTTGTCTAACCGAATTCGAAAGAAAGAGTGAAACGTTTCGTCTCTAACAGTACTGGTTTCTTATATAACTATTTCTTAACAAAACGAATTCACAAGTCTCCTATTTCTACCCCGGCCTCAATTCAGGATGAATGCTTTCCAACTGATAAATATCGCGGTCGCCTCCTTTGCCGGTGTAATCGGCATTCCAGGTAACATTCTCATTGTACTTGTCATCAGTCGGAGAAAAAATAAAAACCCAACTGATGTTGCGGTGATCGCCCTTGCCCTCCTCGATCTCTTTCTATGCTTACTTTTGATTGAAAACAGTGCGACATCCAAGAATGTTCGTTGGCTGTGCATTGTCGAAAACATCTTAAAGAATGGCCTTTTTTATGCAGGTCTGTTGGTAACTTTATTCATAGCTGTGTGTCGTTATTTCGCGGTCTGCCGTCCGTTTTCAACCCGGTTTTCGTCGCGACTAGCTTGGACAGCGTCAGCGGCATCTGTTGTGCTCTCGATCTTGATTCAGCTGCCGATCGCATTTCATGCTAGACCAGAGCAAACTTCGCAAGGCATCGCTATGTGCAACGCCTTCGGGGATGATCCTCTGCTTCGTAAGATATACGTTGCGCTCCCTTTGGTCCTGTCTGGCGCTTCGTTGTCTATCATCATAGTGCTGTACGTGAAGATCTACCGAGTGATTCGTCACCACCAGGCTCTTCGAGAGAGGATGACAAAAGGCCTAGGAGCCAGCGATGCTGAAGGGCGCATCTCCTCGATATCAGCTACCGTCTCGAAGACCTCCAACATTTCTACCCCTACTGACGGCCAGCCCTCAGTTCAGCTATCAAGTGCACCACCCCCTGTTGACGATGTCAGTAGTAATGCTGATAAAAAAGCAAATGGAGCCTCTGGGTTAGATGACGTCAACGTTTCAATCGACCTGAAGAAGCCTCGATGCATTGGTACTGAAGAGCCGTACAAGAAGCGTACAACGCGAAAGAAGCAACGGGCGGACCACAAGACAACCAAAATGCTCGTCATCATGACTTTTATCTTTTTCGTCTTGGTGTACCCTGCGTTGGCTATTCAGATCATGACAACCGATCAGAAGTCGCGCCTGGCTCAGACCCTCCCTAAAGGCGTTGCCATCCTTACTGTTCTTTACAACCTGCGCTTCATCAACCAATTCATCAATGTTTTTATCTATCTCATTGCTAATAAGAAGTTTCGAAGAGAATGCGTTCAATTTTTTAAGTCCTAGTAATAATTACAGAAAATATCGTAAATTACAAAACGTTATATGAATTCAGTTTAATTGAAAATACTTCGGAATTTCGCTTGATATCGAATCATCAGATGTAAAGGGAAATGAATCGTTTACTACAGAACAACATAAAACTATACAACTATACGCGAGTAAAAGAAATTGTGTTCTAGAAAGAAAAAAATTAATCAAACTATATATGGCAGGTGACTGTACTTTGTATGTTCAGAGGGTAACATGGATGTATGGGGAGGAGAAAGAAAGAGGGAAGGGCTGAAAAAGAGTGCATAGGCCTAATGGATATATGAAGATGGAGAGGGTGAGAAAGATAGAAAGAAACTGGTGTAGGATAACATGAGAATACGATATCGCAATATCCTCGTACGAGCATGGAAAGAACAGAATAAAAAGAGAGGAAACAGTTTAAAGTTGTTTATTTCATTACATCTCGTGTATCTATTTGTCCAATATAAGTTTGACATGGATATTTTTGATGCTCACACATGGTTTACAAACATTAGAAATATAATACAAAATATGACATAAATTATAATTGACATAATATTGATTTTCATTTTGTAATATGGCTTGTTTCGACTTGCTATATAATTTAGATGTCTTCATACATTTTTATAAATCTATTAAATAGAAATGATTAAACATTGCGCTGTTTAAAAGGCAGGTCTTAAAACTGCATTGAAGTAAATCGGAAGGAATCTAATAACATGGACAAAAACTGAATTATACTGGCAAATGATAACCGTGTTAATGATTATGAAATACTCTTATGCATTGTTCTTGAATAATCTTTTTAATTGTCCATTTTAGCGTTTTCCTTAGTATTGAGAATAGATAAACGAAATAGTGACCGATTTATATCAATTTTAGTAGTAACACTAATGATTATCATGTATACGTAATCCGCTATCAATCCCCCAACCCACCCGAAAATAAACATATACGCTGATGATGCAACTGTTTTATTCGAAGGCACATCTAAGATTTCTTGGGAAACATGCAATATGGTATCAATGAAATCTATTTATGGTTGACAGACTTTATTTTACACTCAATGTAAAGAAAACCAAGTTCATGATATTATTTAATACAAATCAACGCTTTGGTACCTTTACTAACATACAGCTAACTAATAATGACGAGGAAATTGAAATGATAAATTAAATATTTTGGTGCCTTTCCAGACAAAAATTTGTCAAATATTTACCATGTTGACTTAATGCAAAGAAAATATCAAAGAGAATTGGTTTTCTTAGAAGATTTGCCAATTTTATTTTTAAGTTACTATATGTACTTTTTCGTAATGCCATTATTCGACTTTTGTTAAACTGGTCAGATGGACTTTTAGATAGACTTTTAGAACAATGAAATCAATTAATTACCCTCAATGTTCCGTTCTGTCTAGGCAACCATGTACACAAATACCATTATTATATTGTAAGGATATTTATATTTCGTTCTTTGTTTGTTTTTAATCGTGAGACGGGGAGGTAGCAGATCTTGGCAATGCAAAGAAACGATACAATTTACATTTATATTTATACATTTCTGTAATTTGTTTAAATTAATCTTTATTACTAGTGGTATAAACAAGCTTTACAAGATATTCTTTTTCAGATCATAAGCTCCATAACAACGAGCAATTCATTTTTCTTTTTTCATTACACTCACCCAGCTATATTTCTTTTATGATGTATAAAATAATGGAATGGAATGGTGGTGGTTATTTTACCTGACTGCTAAGAAAGCATTAATGCTTGTAAGTAAGCAACCAGACGGCTTTAGGTCCTCTCCGTGTGACCTGGTGATGAGAATTAATGCCTTACCAAATGGCACTAGTGCATCGCCTTGGTTTCGAACCCGGGTCACCGGATTACGAGACCACTGCTCTACCGACTGAGCTATCGCGCCTCCTCGAATGCCTTTTACCAATAATAAGCTAGTTCACATGTAGATCTAGGATTTTGGGGCCGGTAGAAGGGGGGATAGGGCAAAAATAGTGTGGAGATCTCCATCCCCCCACCCCCCCCCCCCAAAAAAAAAAACCACATAAAAATCCCACTTTGTTTGCATGTTGTTAAATCTACATTTGGTGATGATAAAAAAGTCCTCACATTCAAGATTCAAGATTCAAGATTCAAGATTATTTTATTGGTCCATGCATGCAAACATTACATAGAGATTTTGCTTCCAATGGCTTTTTTGACAGTGAAAATACAAATGATAGAAAATACAATATAACATTTAACAATAGAAAACTATGTACATAAATATGGATAATTATTTATTTGCAGAAAATAACAGGAATAAATACATTTACATTCATATTTCATAATTATAAATGCGAGATATAATTACGGCAACACTTCTACAGTAAAATGAACTCTTAACGATTGAAGAAAACAATTAACAATTAACCGGCACACTCTTATGAGTGAATAACATGCGTCATAAATTGTCTCATAATATGATATTTCATTTCCCCTCAGCTCCCCCCTCCCCCCATCCGCTAGCTCCCGATCGACAGTCTCCAGCTATCCGCTTAATTGCACTTCAATAGCAGCTATTGAAGTGCAATTAAACGGACAGCTTTCAAAATCAACAATAGCAATTTCAAATCCAGTAGGAAATATATGATTATAAGGATTTCAAAGATTTCAAATTTATTCATGTTTCCAACAAAACATTACAAATCAATTATAAGCATTTAAAACAAATTTAAGAAATACATGTTGAAAACAGAGGGTCCACTAAAAAGCAATGCTTTTACAAGTGTGAACACCTCAAATGAAACTTAGGAATAATGAGTAATTAAATTAACTAATCTGTAACTACAAAAGGAACTACAAAATGGGGGAAAGAAAAAGGGGAATGCCAACAGAGACGAGAAAGGGACAAGACAGTACTTTAAACGACAAAGATAGAAGAACACGGTCATAATGCAAAGAGTAGACAATGACAAAAAGAAGTGAGAGATCGAGGGTACAGAAAATAATACTAAAAGATGAGCTGCACGTGGGATAGGTAGGTAGCCTTATATAATACAGTTATCGCGTCACAGTTGAATTATACACATGTGTAGAATTAGGGATGAATGAATTACGAGAACGTGAAAGGCGAGTACGGGGAGGGCACAGTCTTATTCCAGAACGGTTGAACCTAAAACAATCATTGAGAAGATGGGTATTGTCTGTTATTATAACTTTAACTTTTGCAAGTAAGCGTTTTTCATAAAGTGCTGGAACAGGGGGCAGATCATTCTGATCCTATAACCCTCAGTGCGACTCTTCGAGTTCGGTCTACTCTTCCCTTTTGCTCGTTTGAAATGTTACCAAAAGTGCAGATCAGATTGAATATCATTACGCTTTGGATGATCGATTGGTAGAAGAGCTTCAGGATGGTTCTATCGATATGAAAGCTCTTTAGTTTCCGTAAGAAGAACATCCTTGTGTTCGTTTTCTTTTGAACAGACAGTTTTGCTTCCAAGAAAGATTATCATCAATGATTGTTCCCAGGTATTTGTACTCATGTACCTGCTCAATGACGTCTCCATGAATACGGAGTGGCCCATGTATTGTTTTGCCTTTCCGGAAGTCAACGATAATTTCTTTGGTTTTACTGGTATTCAGTGATAGGTAATGGTTGTCACACCAAGGACAAAGTCTTGAACTTGGGAGATGTATTCATGAGGGTCATTGAACAGGTAGCCTGTTATCACAGTATCATAAGCATATTTAACTAAACTGCAAGAGGATTTGGTGCTCGTGCAATTACTTGTGTACAACGAGAAAAGAACGGGAGATAAAACGCAACCCTGGGGAGCACCTATCGGGTGCCTCACCCCCCTCCCCGATCTACCAATTTGAGTTTGTTGATTAATATCGTTGTTTGCTACTGTGATAGTCACTTTGTTCCCTTACCGTCATTTAATAATAAATATTGGGTTTATGAGCAAGACTTTGTTAAATTTGGTGAACGAAAATCACAAAAAGCCAAAATCAATATCAAGATAAATAAAAGAGATTGCCTATGTATTTTCAGACTATACTGTGTTGCTCAAAAAGTAAGGAACATTTGATATTTTCCAATTACATTGACATAATGACTCGAAGCTGATGATCTCTGTATCATTTTTTATCATCTCGAAAGAGAATGATCTACTTCATGAAGTAAACGTTTTGTCAATGATGAAGTTATTATTGTAGATCGCAGGTGTTTCGTTCTCTCTGGGCCACAATGTACATTACATGGTAAGGATTTTTATATATCTTTCTTTGTTTGTTTGTTTTTAATCGTGGGACGGGGAGGAGGCGGATTTTGGCAATGCAATGAAAGAATACAATCTATATTATGAATTGCTATTGAATTAACCTTTATCACTAGTGGTATAAACTCCTTTCTCGAATATTAATTCTTCAGATCGTAAGCTCCACAACAGCGAGCAAGTAATATTTCTTTTTTCATTACACTCAATGTTATGTTGTTATTATGTTTTATGATTTGTATAATTGTCTCCGTTGTTTGTAATACACCTGTACCATTGAGCGACTGATTAATTTCCATTTTAGTGGACAATAAATCATTTAAATTCAATTAAATTCAATCCAGCTATATTTCTTTTTGATGAATGAATGAAAAAAAAAAATTCAAAGGTGGATCTAGGATGATGCCAGTGGGGGGGGGGGGGGGGGGGGAACAATAAAAGGGTGGAGATCTCCACCCCCCCCCCAAACAAACAAAAACCAAAACAAATCCGACATATATCTTGTGCATGTTATTAAATCTACATTTCGCGATGACAACAAAACAAAAGTCCTTACATATCGGTAGCCCAATTCTCCCCCGATCTGCCAATTGAGTTTGTTGATGAATATTATTGTTTGTTTCTGTGATAGTCACTTTGTTCCCTTTCCGTCTTGGGTTTATAAGCCGACGATGTAGAAGGCCCCGTCCCCGGTTGCGAAAACTGCCTAGTAACG